TGATTCCAGCCAGAAAGCCAGGGCAATTACAATATTAATCTCACTTGTCTCCCTTCTTCCAGGGATCAAAGTCCTACCTTGACTATTGTCACATGCCTGAAAATTGTTTTTTATATATTTTATCCAGTTTTTCTCTTTTCCTCCCCGCCCCCGCCCTTTCTGGCAACAGGCTGTTTCTACTTTCAGTTACTTCATGGCCAGAATACAAATTTATTTTTTAATTGCCAGTGGTTTATCATTGATACTTTACTGTTAAATCCAAACTCCTTAGAGTAAAACGTAAGACTTTTATGACCTGTCTCCAGCTTGCCCCTATTGCCTATATCCTTTTGCTTTTTTTCTTAAATGTTTTGTTCCAGCCACATGGGACAACCTTTATCTTGCATGTTTGAATATTTTCATGTCTTCATGTTAGTATGTTCACATTCTTTTGCCTTTCTGCTGACTTGATGTCTTGGAATTATGTCCACTTCTATCAGAGAAATTACATTCTATTAGAACCATTTGTTTCCTGCACTGTACTCTGAATTCTACATGTGATTTCAGGCACATCAGACCACATCTCTTGTAAATAAGTGTCATTTGTTACAATACAGATTTGGGAAATTAGATGTTCTCAGAGGTTTATTCTATCCCTAAAATGTAAGAAGTTTCAGATTATCTAGAGAGCATATTTTCAAGGAAGCTATTGTAAACATTGTTATAAAATTTAAAATGTGAATACCTAAACTCTGTATACTTTCATCAAAGATTCAGCATTTATAACTAAGAACTATCATAAAAATGCACTTAATTGTGGATAAAACTATTTGTTTTGTATTTAGAGGAAGCCAGCGTCACCCGATATTTACTCACTACAATAGGACAGCTTTTTGAAGAATAAATCTTAATAAATTTTTACCTTTATACCTCTACAGATCATCTTGTTGACTATTTTTTTAAATAAATGAATAGTTTTTATTGTAATAAAATGACTAATTGACAATTTAATAAATGGATACAACCAGAGGCACCAATATGAGTATAATATACTAATAATTTCTCATGGTTTCTCTTAATTATCAAATGTCAGTGGTAAAAAATAAACCTAATTACATGAATTTAGGGGCAGTTGAGAAACTTTTACTTCTAAATCAAAGGCTACTCATTTATTCATGGGGAAAAAAAAAAATCCATGGTACAGGGAAATAAGTTCTATTTAAGGAAAAGAAATATAGGAAATAGTAAAGCCATTTTTGAAAATATTAAGAGCAGTTTTTTTTTCACGATAAATTCGCAAAACACGTAATACAGTTTTTTTGGTGAAATAGTTTGAAGAGGAAAAAATGTTAAGACACGGTTTTAAGCATGGGATTGAAAAGATCAGAAAATGAAAACAAAACCAGGAAGAAGAAAGGGAGAGATAAAGTAGAAGAGAAATAAAGAGGGATGAGAACAAGAGATGGGGTGGAGAAAAAGGAAACAAGCATATATGCAAAATTAAGGAGAAAGACAGTGGTAATGATAGGAGACAAAGGACTTCTGAAATATCAGCTAAATAAAATTTTGCATATTTATACCTTAACTCACTGAGCATTTTAATGAAGAGCTTCTTTTTCATTATAAAAGTAATATATGAAAAAAAGATATTTGTTCATTGTAGAACATGAGGCAAATATTCAAGAAGAAAGAACAAAAATCGCCTGGAAGGCTGCTAGCCAAATGCAGGAATTTTAACATTTGTGAGTATTATTATTTTCTTAAATTTTTAGATGCATTTTCAAACAGCTCTGTTAGAGTGGCATAAACATTTGGACTCTTTAATCACTTGGAACTATAGCTTAAACATTTTTGAAGAACTTTTGTAAACATTTTTATCTTTAATCCTAGTAGGAAACTGATGGTGACTTTATTAGAATAATTTGATAACATTTTAATTAAGAACTATTTACAAATATATGAACAATGGGCAGAAGTTCATAAGGGGCAGTCTAGTAACCCAGGGCTTAGGACTGTGGCTAGGCCTGCAGGTCAAGGGCAGTGAGCAGCAATAGGTCTGTGAGAGATCCATGGTGACCTTCAGCTAGGAGTTCTGGCAATCTTGGGTAATTCCACAGTGGTAAGTAGCCCTGGAAATATAGATACTCCAAAACTACTTTGCTCCCTGTCTTCAGTCACCGATGGGATTCACTTCAGCTAGAATCTAACTGGTAGCCAAATGGTAACAGAACTTAAGTCATCTGTATAGATTACTTTCTGGGCAGAAACCAAAGGGGGAAAAAACTGAGATCGAGTGGTTCTGGAGGGACAAATGGAAGATATTCAGGGCACTAATTAATATTCCATTAAAGTTCATTTACAAATCCCCCTTTTATTTTTTTTATTATTGTCAATAGTGCTATTAGATTTTCTCTATTTAGAATTATTTGCTCAGTAAAAACCATTAAGAGGAAACATACCAGGTACATAGGTATACAAGATTTATGACTTATTTTTCCCAAGAGATTGCAACAATTTATATTTCTACCTGAAAGTTATGAGAGCCTTACTATATCCTTCTTAGCAATGTAAATTTTTTGATGCTGTTGTTTGGCAAATTACATGGCAGTGTTTTACTCTGCATTTCTTTGATAACTATTGGGTTTAAAGGTGTCCATGTTTGTTAAATATTTTCATTCTTCTCTTCTAGATTTTCTTTTCATACCCTATTCTATTTTATGTGGCCCCCAAATGTGTTAGTTAATTCATTAATGTAACAAAGATTAATCCAAGATCCATTAACCAAAAGATTTACTTGAAACTGAATATAAGTTTTTGAATAGCACCTGACCACTGCTCACTTTTTTTTGTTGATGCTGAGATGATCATAATTGGCTTATAAATGGGAAAATTAGAAAGATTTCATTTACAGAAAAATATTTCATTATTTGCCACAGAAATTACTAGGAAACAACATTGCCTTGTAACTAACATTAGAATAAAGGTAATTAAAATTGGATTGGAAATTAAAAAAAAAATTATTTTGGCAGAATATGCAGTATAACACAAATAGTTCCCATTTATTCAGTGCATCCTATGTTGCAAATATATCTCCATAAAAAACTCATTTGCTAATTTGTCTACAAGGAAATTGGTCCTATGAGAGATTAATTTGTTTCAGATCTCACAAAATGTATATAGTGAACTCATTTTATATACTGATTTTTAATCTATAAAATTCAACCTATTTTATCCAATATACTGTTTTATTATTGTTATCGTTATTGTGTTAATACTAAACAGATTTAATTTGCTCACCATAACCTCTTTAAGGTTTATACTGATAAGTAGAAACTAAACAATGTGCTCACCTATTTCCAACCACACAAAACTCTATTACAAATTTGCACTTTTTTTCATAGAATAAAGAGGAAGTCTCCATATGTTGGTATTTAAAGAATATGAATGAATGGTCTTCCTCTGTTCTCTAAAAATAATACAGATGTGGAAGACAAAATCACAATAGAGTAAGTTGCCATCATATGGTAGTGATAATGAAGTAGGGAAGCTGGAGGGAATCCATCTTGGAAAGGCTATGTCTCTGCTGTTTTTCTGCTAGGCCGAATTTCTATATTTTGCCTCTGAATAAGCCAAAGAAGCTATGTTCCACTTCAAGGGGAAAGCGAGAGCGTGAATCATTCTCTTGAGTTTTTTCCTAGGCCCCAAGCATGTAATAACATCTAAGAAGAGCTGGATACCAAACATGTTCCAGAACGTTAGCTTCAAAGAAACTTCTGCTGACACTGGCATCAATACCTCCTACCTTCGATGATTCATGAAATAACAAACACCTGTTACTCGCCTCTCATCACCTTTGATTGGACCCTACCCTGGATTCCTAAAGAAACACGTACCCTAGATCCTTTTCTAATATAAACTGCTAGCCCCAAGCACTGATGAGACTCATTCTCCTTTCTAAGTCTCCTAAACATTCTGCTGTTCTTAAACTGTTTTCACTTTCTCCAACTCACATTTGATTTCTATCCTGTGTGAAGCCAAGGACCCGCTTAGCTGGTCCTGTAGGACCCCCCCCCCCCCCCCGCCCTCCAACCTGCCTTCATCAGTTACAAATCCTATTCTGGAGTCAGACTATTCATATGATTCCTGGCTCAGCTATTAGGATGAATTAAGCAAGTTATTTTACCTCCCTGTGACTCAGTTTCCTCATCTTTAAAAGAAGATAATAAAATTAACTATGTCAGGGGGTGTTCTGAGGATTAAGTTCATAAATATAAGCCTAATTTATTAGATCATAGTAGCCTAATGTAAATCATTAGAACATTGAGTATTGATTGAATAAAATTGAAAGAAGGCAAAGAAACACAGGAAGAAAGGAAGGCAGGAAGCAATCTGGCTACTCATTTTTAAGACTACCTCAACCACGCATTTACTTACATACTCCACTGTAATTTCATAAACACATTGACCATATTTTACTAGCAATGTCCACCCAACCTTGGTTATATTACTTGATAGAGTAGGTACTCACTTAACAGATGAACAGTTAAATACATAAAAGAATAAATGAATAGATAAAACTAAGAAGCCCTGGATATCTGGAACAAATAGGATAGTAAAAATATAAAATAACATACTTCTCATATTTTTCCCAAAAGTACACAAAAAGCATTGAAGGAATAATCTATATGAGACCAAGGAAAAAAATGGACCAGAGCAGTAAGGGGCCAGGAGGCAGAAGTGTACGTAAATGAGCCTCATCAACCAGTCCTCATTCAATTTAGATATAGTAGATACCCTGTTTCAGGCATGTAAGACCCAATTCCAGCTGTAACTTGGCTCAAACCACTTGCTTTACGGTTTCTCTTACATAAACAAAGTCAAATTGATGGTACCTACACATCTCTCTCCATTTTGGAAACTCCTTTGAAAAAGGTTTTATAAGAGTGTAACATTCAGAAGAAGTAATACCTAAGACCAGTGCCTGCCATGACTGTCCCACATTGTCATGTTTGTGTACTTACTTGCTGGATTTTCCGTGCTATGTAGACTGATCACTGGGACACCTGGGCCTGGATTTTAAAAACATGTATAAAAATAAATATGTATAAATATTTTAAAGACATTAAGTGATAATTATTGGAAAGGCTACATGAGTTATTTTTTCCAAATTGAAGCATTTCATAGTTAAAACATAATGAAACAGAAACCAGATAACTAGATTTCATTCCTATCTATGGATATTTTATTCAGAAAAGAACATATGGGGAAAGAAACCATTTGCAAAGATTGTTAAGATTTCCCCTTCTCCAAAATGCCCTATCCTTCTATAATTCTATGGTACCCAATTTTACACTCCTCACTCTCTTTCACTAGTCTTTTATAGAGCAGTCACTGATGTCCAGAAAGCTGATTCATGACCCTGTGGCCCCTCACTAGTTCATCCAAGATTAAATTCTATTTACCACTCAATCAAGGAAGAATGCATGCATAATAAAAATATCCATAAGATAAAAATTTGGTTCTAATTATATATTAATTTAAAAAACATTAACTGGAATCAAATATTTCAAATATGCCAGTTACTTCAGTGTAACCATAAGATGTTATCTTGAAACTTCACTCCTCTAAGGAACTATATCTAGAGGTCTAATGGTTTTTCCCTGGTATCATCAAACAAGAACTTTTTTGATATCAAGAAAAAAAAACTAAGAAGAGCAAGGGTTGATCTATTCCTCAGGGTGTCTTAAAACAGGACAGCTTCAGGTACCCACTGGGGCAAGAGCAGTCAGTCAGTCCATTACATTATAAGGGATACAGGGCTTCCATTTCATTCTGGAAGATACAGTGTCTATTTAAGGAGCAGTGATTCCTATCAGTATAACCTAGATTAAACCATGCTAATATAGAAGATATATATATATATATATATATATGTATTTTTACCAGATAGAAGTAATTGGGGTGAATGTAATCTCTTAAAATTGAAGGGTGCTAGACCCAGGCAATTAAATTTCTGTAGATACTAAATCTCTTAACAACCAAGCCATTATTTTAATAAGAGGACTGTTTTTTTTTCTAAGGACTAGGTAAATTATTCTATTGTTATAGCATGACTTTGCTGATGTAAATGTTTATTCACTTTTTTAAAAGTATCACTCTCAAACAGCCTTTATTGATCATGAGTAAATGTTGACTCCCAATTTTGTTTTCTAAATGAAATTCATACAATTCATACCTCAGTAAATTCATAATTTATAACTTAACGAATACATACATTTAGAATATCAAATTCTATTCATATAGAGAATACTCATGATAGTAATAGATACTGATCAAATAAAGTAAATTTCATGAGAAATCATGTATTACCTTTACAGAGTAATAAGAAATGTTGATTCATAGGACTAAAATTGGCATCAAAATATGTACATTGTTCTTTCATAAAATTACATGAAATGCATTGACGATTCAGTAGTCCTTCAGTAGAAGCACTGGGGAAAGAAAAAAAATTAGAAATGGTACTTTTCCAGGTACATGAATGTGTGGCATCAATATTTAAATATTGACATAAACTGAAGAGCTCCAGCATTACTTACATTGCAGTTCCTTGTAAATGACTTACTGTATAAATGCAAAGTCGGTTTCCATTACTACTGTTAAGACATACACATTTTTCTTCTCTGTAATAAAATTAAAATGTATGCCTATATGTATATAAAATATATGTATGTATGCATGTTTATAAATAAAGGAACTGATTTCCATAGGACTCAAATGTAATTTATTCCAACCTGCCTTTTCTCTATAGATATTTCTTTATAAAGCTGTAAAAGGACTTGCCCACAGAGACTAGCATAAACTCACCATCAATAAATATTAGTTGAAAGAACCAATACATGTTTTCAGAAGCTACACAAAGAATCAAGTTCATTAAACAGTAGAATTTGATATCAGTGTCAAATTTTTCCCACTAAATAGATGTACTGAAAATACTTGCCTTAAATACTTGACTGAAATTTTTGGTAAAGGAAAGTTATTTTTGTATGATAATATAATGTTAATGATCATACATACGTTGAGACATCAGGGAGGTAGGTAAAAAGAAAAGCAATCATCTATTTTACAAAGATGCTTAAGGTTAGAATGAGATATTTACTCAAGGTTAAGTTTCCTATACAGAATCATTTTATAGAGATGAATCGTAAATTATTCCAACAGATGAAAATGGTGGTGAAGCCGTATCTTAAACTTGGACAGAATATTCTCAATTTCATTTAGAAATGAAACATGACTTTGGCTATACATCTGTAAATGAATCCTAGTCATTTTGATGTGCAATAGGCTGCATACACAGGGATAGGAAGAGATGTATTGACATGGGCAACAGAAGCACCAGAAGTAATTGAGGATCAATGTTAAGTATAGTTCATAAACTCACAATTTCACATTTGAAACATTCTGAGCTCATTATAACCCCAAATTTTCCTTCACTGGTCAAGGCAATTAATATAAACTAAGCACTTAAACACATTAACCAGTTTCACCTTTACGATAACTTAGAAGGTAGTCATACCTAATATTTTCTCTTTAAAATTGCTATGTGTGTATATATACCTTCACACACACACCATAGCATTTGCCATTTTAATCATTTTTAAGTATATAGATCAGTATTAATTCTATTCAGCGTTGTGTAACAATCTCTAGAGAGGCTAAGAATGCGTGCCAGTTGTCCACAGCTACTTAAATGACATAACTGGAATTTAAAACCCTTTTCTCTCTCTACTCCTTCATATATATATATTTTTTTAAAGATTTTATTTATTTATTTGACAGAGAGAGACACAGCGAGAGAGGGAACACAAGCAGGGGGAGTGGGAGAGGGAGAAGCAGGCTTCCCGCCGAGCAGGGAGCCCGATGCGGGGCTCGATCCCAGGACCCTGGGATCATGACCTGAGCCGAAGGCAGACGTTTAACGGCTGAGCCACCCAGGCGCCCTCCTTCATATATTTTTTCAGATTCAAGTTCCCCAAAATTTATTGGTAGTTTCTCATTATTTAGATTATTTCGAAATTACTGAAATAAATGCATATTTTGAGATAAAATTCTAAACTGACCATGGCAGCAGTTGTGATTCTTCAGGGGTATCTCATCCCATAAATTTAGTCAACCAATGATTATTTTTATGACCTGGACGAAATAATGATTGAGTTTTCTGGGTTAAACACTAACGTTATCTTAACAGTCAAGCCAACTGGCGTTTGCTAAGCTATTTAAGGGGAAATTTATTGGTACTGTTCTGCCTCGGTCACTAGAAAGTGAAGACAAGCACCCAAATCTAAGAAGTCATTTTGATTCAAATCACATTTTAGGCTAATAAAGGGAAGAGAGGTTGAGATAGTTCCATTGGCTGAAATTGGCCAAGTCCAGTCTTCTGACACTGGCACTTTTCTTTAAGAATTTCATAAAATGAGAGAAATAAAACCTTGATCAAGTAGTTTCAGGACCTTAAAAAAAATGGCTCAGGACTACCAGTACCAACCAGAGTATATGTTTCAAGACAGGCTGCCGGTCACCAAAAAGAAAAAAAAAAGTAACCAGTACTTTAATCAAGAACTCTAAACTGATTCTAAACTAGAATCAGTCTCTTTAAATAAATAGCTCTTCTTCCTTTGGAAGTCATTGAGACTATGGGCTCTGGACGCTAAGAGAAAAACACCCAAAAAACGAACACAGAAATAACATATTGGGAGAGGTGATAAAAAAATGAAGCATTTGCTTCAGATGAAAGCAATTTATGCATAAATAAGAGGATGGGGTGAATTAGAGGGAGTTTAGGGTGCTTTAAACATACATTTTTACCCTCAAAGGAAAGTCTAGGCTACGGTAAGAATCAGCGGTGACACTTCTTCAAACATGAATTTCTACTGAGAATATGCCATGGCAGTTTTGACACTTTAAAAATGGATCAGTGAAATGGAAATTAGAAAGTGTATATAAAGTCTAGAATTAATAAGTTGCTTGCCAGACAAAAATAAAAGTCATTGTTGTGAGGTCCTGGTGAAAGCTTTCCAAGTGAGGAAACATTTTAGTACTAAATAGGTATGACCTTAAGTACCTTCTATGAGTATAACTTTCCCTCTGGGAAAATTGGGCAGATGAAAACATTTCCCATCTACTGCTTTATTTAAGCAATGAGCATTCCTGGCTTCAGTAACAATCTTACTAGGTTTTATACACTATGGGGGCATGGGGGGTGGGGAGAAACACTACCCTTGACCCACTCTTCTAAGTGTTCACAATGGTTTTGTTTGGGAATAAATGACCAGTGTACAATATTCGTGCACTGAAAATTCAGAATGAGACTTAGCAGAAGAAAAGTCCACTGAGGAAAATATGTAAATGCCTCTGATGTGGGTAGTTGAGAGAAGCAAGTCTTAAAAAAAAAAAATATTTTGAGACTGTGAAAGCAGGTGAGGAAAGAAAGAAAGAAGGAGCACCTAGGTGGTCTTCACTTCAGGTCCACCCAACCCTTCAGGCTTGCTAACATTCAGATGGGCTGTGTGAGGTTTCGCCATGTCAAGAACGAGTGTGAGGTTTCGCAGTTTCAAGAATGAAATTTCAGATTTTTCCGTCCTCTCATGAAGCTGTGTAGAAGGCCACCGAGGACTCAGCATGTTCAGGGCGGTCCGCGCACCTGGCTTACCTGTACAGTTGCCTCCCTCGGGGAGAAGACTCTGTGCTCAGAAAGTAACTGCCCGGGAAAGAAAACAACACAAACATCAGGCACAGGTCAGTTTTTACCAGGCTGAGTTTTCACTTGAATTTTCAAACTGTCAAAGAACAGGCAAGAGCTGCTTCATTATTCAACCACAGAACTTTGCTCTATTTGGGAAACATCTTTTTGTCTTAAAATATCATATCACCCTTTTACGTGATCTCTGTCCTGCGGGTGTGTGCATGTATCTGGGCAAGCGTGTCTCTGGGCGAAGGACAGGGAGGGAGAGTCTTTAAAGAAAAAGTTGCTGTTACGTAGCCGGGTTGTCTGGACTAGGACCACAGTAAGCAAAACATAAATCTGGCAGAAAAGATTGCATTTGACAGCCCAGACTTCCAACCTGACCAGAGAACCAAAAATGCTCACATTTTTTGAGTAGTTTCATCGTATGCCAAGATCTTTATCACTTCCCAGTTTCCTGATGTCAGATGCCGCACGGTAATTTGCTCACTTTTACTCTGCAAAGAAATAGAAAATATTGATTTTCCTTTTTATTTAAACAGCATCTCTCTGGTCAAACAAAAGTACCAACTGCCTGTGTCACTTTTAATTCTGTAATTCTCAGCTAACAATCAGTTTCTTGTTTTCAGTCTCAAGAATTCACACACATTCATGCAAACATTGACCAGGGTAGAATGGTGTCTTTTCTCTTATGCTGTAGGAAAACCATTCAGAAAACACCTCTAGGTGAGGCTTTCCTCTGCATCACAGGATGTCATCCTGGCCTTTGGTACAGACACAGGACTTTGGTAACTCTCATCTCAAATGACTGGCAACTGTGCAGTTTGGACAGCTTTAAATAAAACACTGCAGAACAAACTTTATTGTAAAGAAATACCATATAATAGCATATTATTAGTATATATTACATATACATATGTAATAGTATTACATAAATACTATTATATGAAAGTATATAATACTTTCAACTTTCAGAGCATGTTAATCACTTTAAGATCTGCTATTTTCCCACAATAACTTATTCCTGAGATTAATTCATATTGAAGTTTATAGCCATAGTTTGATTTCACTGCTATATGGTATTTTATATGAACATAGCATAATTTCAGTTGAGCATGTACAAATATCTGCTCTTAAAAACAAGTTGCCTATAAACAGTTTTATTAAAATCTCCTGATGCACATGGCAGGGTTTTCTTCAGACAAACACCAGGAAGTGGGATTGGTCATTAGTACTCATGTCTTCTACTTAACTAGGTAGTGACAAAATATTTTCCAAACTTGTCCCTATTTACAGTCTACTAGCAACATGAGTTTTCATTGCTCCACATCTTTATCACTTCCTTACCAACATTAATTTCCTCAATTTTTTTGTCAAATTAATGACTATGAAATTATATCTTATTTTCTTTTTATTGAGAAAATATTCAAACCTACAGAAAGGCTGAATGAAAAGTACATGATTATCCATAAAATCATTACCTAGACTCACCAAATGTCAACATATTGAATATTTGCCCTCCCTCTTTTGATTGTTTGCTCAATCATTTAAAAGTAGGCTGCAAACATCAGGATGTTTTTGGCTTATATACTTCAATATACATCTCTCAAGATTAAGACATTTTCACATGTAAGCAAGTCACATATCACACCTCTGGATATTAACATCATCTAAATATATAGTCTATACCCTAAATTCCACAACAGCCCCAAGTAACCCAAATAACTATATATGTATGTATATACACACACACACACACACACACACATATAATGTATTTCATGTTTAAATATATATACATACATAAATTTATATATTTAGATAAAATAGATGTCTCAATGGAGGTTTCCATATCGTATTGGATTGTCATCTCTTTAGTCTCAAAGAAAAACATTTGTCTTTTCTGATTTCTACAACATTGGCCATTTTTTAGACTCTTGGTCCAGTGGTCTTACAGAATGTTCAGCATTTTGGATTTGTCTGTTTTCTTATGCTTTAATTTAGCCTAAATATTTTTAGCAAAAATATTACAGAGGTGATATTGGATACCTCTGTTGCTTATATCAGGAAACATACCATTACACATCTTCCCACTCATGACAATGCTGTTTACATGGTAACTGTGAGATATAGTCATTGTAAAAAAAAATTTTGTCTTATAATTAAAAGCGGATGATACTTGAACATTATATGAATAGCTTTTTCCCCATTAACTTTTCACTCAGTAGGTTTGGCATCCATTCATGACCTTTCCCTAAATAAATTACCATCTCAAAGTGATTTTCTAATTCTAGTATCACTTTTTTATTAGGTGGCATACTTCTGTAAAAAGAACTTCTACTATTTCTCCTTGTATGTGTTTACTCTCATTTTCTCTCTCTCCCTCCTCTTCATATTACTATACACTTAACACATGTTTAATGCAATGTTACATTCCATTACTGTTGTTACTCTTTATGATGCTGAAATTGTCAAAATGTGGTTAGCAGGAACTCCTTCAAGTCAACCCCTCTATTCTTTGGAAATGATTACATTGGTCTTTGAGCACTTCTGTGTTTTATTCACAATCACATGTTCTTAGATCATTTTACTTCCTCGACCTCCTAACTGTAATCAATTATTTCTCCGTGGAGTTTTTTCTACTGGGTTAAGGTATTTAGATAGAAAGATACGGGGATATGTGTACTCATCGCTACTCTAATGTTATTAGTGCTGGGCCTTTTTAGAAGAGATAGATGGATAGCTAGACAGATTTCCCTGTTTTCTCTCTGTGTGTGTGTGCGTGTGTGCATTCTTAGTATTTACTATCTCCAATTCAAATTCGTATCAGTTTGATTTATATTCAGGTGCATTTACTTCTCTATTTCAACATAGGCTTTGTTGTCCTCATTTTTTGTATTTAATTTTCTTTTAAAAATATGTAGATGGGGGACACCTGGACCTGCCTTCAGCTCAGGTTATGATCCCTGGGTCCTGGGATCCAGTCACGAGTTAGGCTCCCTGCTTAGTGGGGAGTCTGCTTCTGCCTCTGCCCCTCCCCTCCACCTGTGCTCTCCTTGGCTCTCTCTCTTTCTCTCAAATAAATCTTTTAAAAATGTAAAAAAATGTGAAAATATGTAAATGGCTCAAACATTATATATATATAATATATTGTATATTTTGTATATATTGTATATATTGTATACATTCTATACTCCTATATATATATATATAATTTCATATACTCTATATATATATTGGAGTGTATATATATATGTATATATATATATATATATATATATATATATATTGGAGTATAGAAGCCCAAACCTCTTGCCCTCGTTTGGGACTTCTCTGAGGGCCATTCAGTCTAGAATTCTTATGGGGTCAGCTGAAGCCTTCATTCAGATGGCCCTGCCGCTCAAATTGTTCTGCCCAATTTTTCCTTACATTCCTTTCCAAAGTTATTGATATCCTCTGTAATAATGGTCCTACAGGCTAACCTTCTCAGTTGGCTTCCTGTGAAACTCAACTTGTGACAGGTATATTGGTATAATTTCATTTTGCATTTCTCTTAGGAAAAAAGTTGAGCATCATATATACATATATATGTATATATGTATAATACAACATATATAATGTGTCATTTGCATAATTACAAAGGAGATTCAGTAATTATCCCTCTGCTATTGTTTGTCTATATTATCTATCAGATTTCTTTTGTTTTGGTCTTCTTTATTTTTTAAGAGCTCTATGTCTTTATATCCATTATGTGAGATGTAAGCTGCAAATATGTTCTCCTGATTTGTCATTTTATGTTGACATTGGTTATGGTACTATTTTTCCCAAAAAAGTTTTTTCTAATCTTTATGTAATCAAATTTGCCATCATATTCTTCATTGTCTCTACATTTTGGTGCATAGTTTAAAGGCTTTCTTCAAACTAAGGTTATGAATAATTTATTAATGTTTTCTCACAGTACATGTAATGTTTTATTTCTCAAAGTTAGACCTCTGATCATTTTAGAATTATGGTGGTAGTATGTAACTACTTTTATCTTTTTCCTAATGATACTCAATTTTTCCAAAACTATTTTATGAAAAAATTCACTTTTTCCAGTACTTTGAAATGCCATCTTTATCATATATTAAATTTCCATATGTGTCTAAGGCTATTTCTGTACTGTCTATGCTGTTCCTTTAGTCTCTGTTAATTCACGTCCCAAAACCACACTTACAATTACAGATTTTTGTAACATCCATATTATTTAGAATCCACCCCTTCTATTTTTTTCAGGATTTCTGTAGATATTACTTATTAAAAATAAGCATATCTCATTCAAGCATATAAAAACTTGCTAGCATTTCTTATTGGGATAAAATAAAATTTCTAATTAATATTGACCTCTTTATGATCTTCATTTTATCCCAGAACAGGGATATTTTCCCATTTGTTCAAGTCTACTTTATGCCTTTCAGGAACGTTTTAACATTGTCCTCATAGAGGTTTTGTACATTTTGCACATTTATATTTCGTGTTTTATATTTTGTTGCTAATGTGAGTGGCTTTCTATTCCATATCCTTTTTAAATGGTTATTATTTGCAAATAGGAACATTATTCATTTCCATATGCTAAATATCTATCCTGCTATCTCACTGAATATTTTTCCAAATCTTATGGCTTGTGGTTTATTCTCACCTGATTTACACGAATGCCTCCCAAAACAACATTGTGGAGATAGTGTGCATCCTTCCTTGTTCCCAACCTTAATGGGAATGCCACCCTGTTGGATTATGGACCGAGGCATATATGTTTTATCATGTTAAGAAATTAACCACCAATTCCTATATTTTTAATTTTTTTAAACCAGGAATTGGTATTAAATTTTATAAAAGGCTTTTTTTACAGCAACTGTAAAGAAAACCAATGCTGTAGAACAATTCAAATTGTGTTAGGCATTACTTTTGAAAGTCTGATAAGATTCTCTTATAAAATCATGTGGGCCTTGGTGCTCCTTTGTGGTGTAGTTCTTTGATGATATATTTCTTCTATGTCATTAGTGAATGTAAGCTGTCTATCTGTCTTGGGGCAGTTTTGGTTAAATGTATTTCCTCATAAAATTGCTCATTTGATCTAAACTTTCAAATTAATTGACATAGACTTCTGTAAAATACTCTCTCAGGATCTATTAAAATGTCCTTTTTTAATTCCTACCAGTCATTTCTAATTGTGTTTTCTTTCTCATTTTTCCTCAGTTGGGAGAGCTTGTATTTTGTCTTGTGTGTGTGTGTGGGTTTTCAAAGAGCAAGCATTATTGTGTTTTATTCTAAATTTGTCTGATTTTGCTGATAGTTTTCTAGCCATTTGGATTAGGAATTCAACTCATTTAATTTCATTCCAACATTTTAGTTGTTAAAGTTTGTATAGCTATGAGTTTTATTCTGACATCTGATTCTTAAGAAGGTACTGTCATTCGTGTTACTATTATTACTATTTTATAAATTTTGCAAATTTGAA